CGCCTGCCAACCTAGCAGTTCGAAAGCACTCCCGGGGGCAAGTAGATAAATAGGGACCGCTTACTGGCGGGAAGGTAAACGGCGTTTCCGTGTGCGGCTCTCGCTCACCAGATGCAGCTTTGTCACGCTGGCCACGTGACCCGGAAATGTCTGCGGACAGCGCTGGCCCCCGGCCTCTTGAGTGAGATGGGCGCACAACCCCAGAGTCTGTCAAGACTGGCCCGTACGGGCAGGGGTACCTTTACGTAAGTTGTAAATTAATAAATGATGTCTGTTTTTCTCACTGTTCTTTAACATTTCATGCAAAGGTAACTATTACCGTACTTTACGTTCCCACACTGTGATCTATGGACCACCTGTAGTACAAGAGTTTCATTCAGGTCCTTTGTGGCATTGTCTGCGGATTTATGGTTGAAGCCAGGAGACAGCACATCCATCACATTCAATATTCATATTGGTTTTTAATTGTATTTTTATTGCTTCTTTTCTTATATTGCATTTTATTGTATTGAGATCTATGAAATTCAGATTGTAATACAATAAAACACAGTATCTAATAAATAAAAGAAGCAATTGAAAATACAATTAAAAATCACCTACCACAGAGCATTACAATAGCTACAGCAGGCAGGAAAAGAAACATTAAATGGTCTGCCAAGACCCTTAGCAATTTTCAGGTGGTCCATGGGGAAAATTAAATTTTAAAATCTACTGTGCAATACCAACATTCACTTCCATATTCTGGTGGTAACTTACAGCTGATTCACACATATATGGACATTACTTGATAACCTGAAAGCTTCCACTGAAAAGCATTGTATTTGAGATGAGGTCAGGTAAGACAAAAGCTCTGTCTGTGATGGGTGGTGGCTCTTAACAGATCATCACTTGATGCTGCAGTTCATTGACCGATAGACATGCATACATGAACTCCTTCTTGGAATCAATATATGTGGCAGAAAATTTGTCCTAACTGCTAGTGAGTTCTATTGAGCATAGTTAAATATCTAATTATACAAGTCAGATAGTCTTCAACTTGTGATGCTGAAGATGTACATGTTTGCTGCTGGACATGAAATGTGCATACTTCTGTCATTGAGAGAAAACTCAGCTAATTAAAATAATCGTATGTGAGTTATGGTGCAATTTTCAGAAAGCCATATAATTCAAGCCAAGGGACAAAATATGCTACACAAATCAGCATAAACACAAATCAGGCACCGGAAACATTGAACCTTGATGCAATATTTTCTGAACTTATTCTGGTCTATTTTTAAGCTGGTACCAAATACATTTACTGGCATTTATTTAAACCTGTACACACGAAGCACAATGTATTGCATTAATATAAGATGGAGATAATAGCCAGGTTTCTGAAACATGCAGTGAGGACACATGAATGTTATACAACCTTATCTTAACTTTTAGATGCAGATTTCGCTGACTGATTTTATTGTACTGAACCTTACCAGAATCTTGTCTATATGCCATTAAAGGTTTAAGAATAGAATTGTATTGCATTAATGGCCTGCCACCTACTGGCAATAGTTCATATTTTGTTCATCTCGCTGATTTAAATTGGCTAATTGCCTGTTGCTCAGTTGAGAGGGAAGAGAGCTTTTGAAGAAAGGGGGGCCATATATAGTTGAACAAAAGTTCTAAATCTATGATTACAACCAATTAGTGTATTAAACATTGCAACCCTGTTTTAAATTTGTGTTCCATAATATTCCATATTCCACAGAAATAAGCACTTTGTGGACCGCAGCCATTCTATTTACCATAATTAAAACTTTCACAGCAACAACAATATAACTAGTAAATCTAGTTTAAAATTCAAAATTTTACCACTTTTGATTGTCACCATTTATCAGAACTGAGTAACTCCTTTTGATTACTTAGTGCTGTTCAAGGTCTGAGTTGCAAAATTCAGGTTGTAACTCTATACACAGTTGCATGGAAGTAAATCCTGCTGAACTAAATGGGGTTTACTTCTGTGAAGGCATGCACAGGATTGCACTAGAAATGGTTATATTAATCCTTGCTAGCAGAGTTAACAATGAAGGCTATAACCTACTCACTGAAATGCCAACTGCATGAAGGGGTTTTTTTGTTTTTGTTTTGTAAGGAGAGACAATCATTATAGTCCCCCCCCTTTTAAGCTACCCAGGCTATTTATTGATACCTGAGTGAAAAATAAATATTTAACAATAGTGATAGTGAGCTCCCACCTGTGTTTTAAAAATCAATACAGCCCAAGCACAGGTTTACCATCTTGGAGAACCAGGGGAGAGGAGAGAGGTCATAGTGCTGAGTCCTTTGAGAATTTTTTTTTTCCATTTTTCACAAGAGTGTAGGGCTTAATCGTGTCATTCTGCCTGGTTTCCCTTTAATGCTTTAAAAATAATGGAAGCTGATTTGAATAAAGCAAAAGACTATGCACATTGCCAACATCACTTACGCTCCAGAAGCTTATTGTAACCTGTTATTTGTAGCTACCCTGTGTAATTTTACCATTGTTATGGGTAAATTCCACTTACTTGTATAAAAAATTATAATTACATTATGAGACATCCTGTGAATAGGTACTGGGAGAGCATGCAGGGATGTGTGAATAGCACAATTTAATAACCCGGCCCCTGACCGAAGAATGATTGCATATTTACAGCTACAAATTGAACATATACTTATTTAATGAAGGGCAAGCAGCTGCTGTTTCGCTGCAGCCAAAACTAAACATTAGTACAATAAATGGCACATCATTTATGTTCTGCTCAATTTTCCTTCTCCTCTTGAGTAATTTGCAATGCAGTCACCCTCTGCCTCTTTTCCACTGAGATGTACTGTGCGGTAAATTTTACTGATGCATTACTGAATAACAGCAAGAGATCATAATTCCTAAAAAGAAGTGGCAAAGTAAAACAGCAAAATATATAGGCGTCCTTCATATTTTCCCTATAAATTTCAGTTTGCTGTATATCTAAAGCTGTGTTCTTTTTGAGTTGATGCCTAAACAGATGACCAATGGATATAATTTAATTTTTGCTATTTCTAGGAAGTGGTAGCAGAGGCTACAGAATGCAGAGAGAAGAATGAACAGCCAATATAGTACTTACAAAGAAAACCAACAGATATGACATATGCGATTTACTCCTTTTAACAAACAGCCTGTTTTGGGGTTGGGTTACAGACTAAGCTTATTCACTCTTAAGTAAGTCTAACTTCTGAGTAAAGATGCAGAATATTGTGCCATAAATATTCTTAGAACTGCAGATGAAGGCTGCAATACTATACAGACTTACATAGGAGTAAGCACCATTGATAAAGCCAAAGTTGTGTAGCTGGGGAGAGCTAGGTTTAAATCCATGTTCACTCGAACTGTGTACACCTTGTGCATTTAAATCAACCCACTGAATCTTGGGAACTGTAGTTTACCCCTAACACAGCTACAATTCCCAGCACCAACTACAGTTCCCAGGTTTGTGTATGCAGCCTAGGTCACCTTAGGTCAGTTACCATATCACAGCAGTGTGTGTCATTTTAGGGGGTTAATATTTGCAAATTTATTCAGTGTGAGGTATTAAAAAATGTTTTTGGGCATGAGGAATTCAAATTGGCTATTATTTTTGTGACTGGACAACATTTAGCTTGGTAAGTCCATGTTTGATGAAGAAGCACATAAACAGCTTCCACAGAATCCTAGCAATAAAATGGGTCCTTAATTTTATCTTCTGAAAATGACAGGTAACTAAATAATACTAATACTAATAATACTAAAATACATAAATAAAATTAATATATAACTGCTTCCTCTGCATGTGAAGACTGGCTCAGGCGGATTGAGCAGATGATACCAATAATGGGTCCAAAGGTCAAGAAGGCAGTTTTTGCACATGCTGTAGAGGGAAGTGAGCGGCACATGGGGCTTGTCAACGTGGAAAGGTAGCCCATCAAGGAGAAGGAAAACTCTGCTCCCAAACCTCCTCTGCCTTCCAGGATATCTTTGGGAGAAGGAAAGGCTAAGGAGTAGACCCTACACAAATCCTGGAGTCCCTAAGATGGTTGGATGGCGCCTTGTACGTCTCCTTTCAATAACTCATGCAGCCAAGCTGCTGCCAAATGTATTGCTTTGTTTTCCTCTGGACCACATCAGCAAGGCCTGGAGGGTGGGGGTGGGGTATTTTGTCATCTGGGCAGCCCAGGACCTCCAAAAACACTGCCCAGACTTGCGCCCGGGACGTCACTTTGGTGCTACGCAGCAGTTTCACTTCAGCCACAAAGGCGAACTCCATTGCCTCTCGAGACAGACGGATGCCAACAACAAATATAACTCCAAGTACTTGGCAATCATTTTATTATTATTATTATTTCTATGCAATCTTACACACATTTCACTTACCAGAGCAAACCTAACTTAACCAAAATATCTTTTGACTGCCCAAGTCATGTTTCAACTTTTTAGCACCCTTCATTTAGGGTGAGTGTGTGTGTGTGTGTGTAAAATTCAAAATACATCCTAACCCTAACCTACCTCGCAAGGACCCGTTTTATTGCTAGGATTTTGTCTTTAATTCTGCCATCTTTCACCCGCAAGCTCTTTTCAGCTCGATTTCTATCAGAGGAGAAGTTGGAAAGGAAGGAGACAAATGTCCGGACTCCAAAACCGATCTAGTTACAAAATGCATCCTCTCTAGATACGATAGTTACACAACACCCCCCACTCCACCCCACCCCGGCAAGAAGCGCAGAGGGGTTTTCAAGCATATTGCCCGAGCGAGGAAGAAGAGCAACAACTACTACTCCCCTCTCTTGCCAAGATGCACGGGCAACTGCGTGCGGAGACACCAGAACCCGCTTCCTCTCTCGGGGCAACTTTGGTCCTTCTTCGTGGGCGGAGGCAGCAGCAGCTGCAGGACCAGGCGCAGCAGAGACCATCCCTCCGAGAGCATCTTCAAGCGGGGAGATGATGGAGGCAAGCCAAGCCGGGCGCTGTGATTGGTCGGCTCCCCGCGCAGGCGCCGAGCGGGCCTGGTGGGCCAGGCCGCGGCGCTTCGCCAAGGCGACGGCCGTGTTTACAAGCGGCCGCGTCCTCCCTCTGCCCTGGTTGTCACCCCGCCCCGTAACCGTCCCGGAGCGCCTCAGCCGCCCAGCTCCGTCCTCTGCTCCGTTTTAAAGCCATGCCTGTGCGCTGGAAGGTGAGACGCGGCTGCTGCTGGGGTCGCCACCTTTTCTTCTATCGGGGCTTTTATCCATTTGCCTCCAAGGGCTTCTGTCCCTATTGTGCCCTCCCGTCAGTTTTAAGGGCCGTTTGTGGCCCCCGTGGGGTTGCATTCTGCAGCCGGGCAACCAGGCTCCTCCTCCTCCTGCTCCCGGCCGTCACTCAAAGCCCTATACCTGCCCTAACCCCAGCCTGGGGTTGGAGCATGCAGGAGGGGTGCCCCCCGCCCCCCCGAGTGAGTGCAGGGGTGGGAGTGAGTCTGCTCCCACTGGAGCTCTGAATGGGTTAGTATGTGGGCACCAGCCGGGCTGGGTTGGCGTGGAAAACCTTTAGGGCCGCCGTTCATCTCGCATTCACGGCTCTGGCATCTTCAGTAGTTGTGTGCCCGGTGGAAATTCATTTCTGCCTGGCGTGGAGGTGGGTTCGTTGATAGGGAAACTTTTACCTGGGGGTTTCATGCCGGTGATGCGATGCTTAAAACTTAAAGGTTGCAGAGCTTGCAAAAAAACAACAACCCAACAACAACGTGAGACACAAATAGGTTTGGATATGTATTAAACTCCCATGTAGATGACCCCCAATATGTCCTGTCCCTCAAGAAAACAATCTTATAAAGAGAGTGCAAGTGTACTCACAGGAATCTTTGCAGTAGAGTTAGGTTCGATGGAAGCTGTTGAAATAGTACAATATCAAATCACTGGTTTCTACGTTTTTGTCTTGCTGTAGGGATTGAGTGAGTACAAGAGGAACTTCAAATGGAGGAAATCGGCGCAGTCTAGGCTTTGTAGCTCTGCACCTGAGCAAAAATGCCGATGGGCTGGACTTCGATCGGATGAGCTTGGTAAGCCAAATTAGGCCTTCTGTCCTTCTATGGCTGTATAATTACTACTTTGTGTGTGTTAATTTTATAAAGTTTACCATAGTATAGAGATAAATTACCCCCCTACCGACATCCTGCATGACAACAGTATTATTTTCTAAGAAGAGAACAAACAAAAAAACTTTTTTTCCAGAAAATATTGACACAAAGTTGCATGTTTAAATTCAGTGACTATGGGAGAATGGACATAAAGGATGATGCCTTCTGTAGCAGGGAGACATGGTTGGATGCACCTCTTTATGCATTGCAAGGCTGGGCGACCTGTTGCTTTGAGAAGTGGATATCTGTGTAGGATTTTCAAAATGCACAGGTTTGACATTTCCTGTTTTGTAGGAATTGCAAGAGAACCCAGTTTCATTTCTAAGAGAAGAGTGCCTTATCACAACACACAGATTTCAAAGTCCTTTGAATGGATTGGGGAAAATAATTCAGAGAAAGATACGTCATCAGAATATGAAACCCACCGGCCATTGGAGTTGGGCACAAAAGACAGCAAAGATGATGTAAATCAGGAAAATATTAAAACACCTGATGCACCCAGGCTTCCTGAAAAGGTGCATTCCAGCCCTGCAAGTTCTAGATCTGAATCAACTGTAGCTCTTGCAGAAAGCAAGGTGTCACCACCCAAAACAATAGGGCATATAAACAAAAAACCACTACCTACCAAAAAGGAATTGGGAGAAAAAGACGGTGAGGTGAGACTACTGAAATTTCTTTTTGCTTTGATGTTGGAAGCAGAAGCTACGACACAAGAGCAGCAGTTGAAGTGAATTTCTGTGCGAAATGTTTAAAAATTGCTCTTTTAAAAATTGTAGGTCTGTCATAATTATAACACATTAAGGGGTTTGGTTATGGTACTGTAGAAGCACATTTTGTTATTGATATGAATGGAAGCAATATTTGTCTTTGAAATGTATATGTTTCAGAGATGTTTATACAATATGATGGTATGACATTGCCTTCATCAGCTTTATCCAAGAAAATATTTACACTAATTTTAAACAGTTCATTTAAGGTTCAAACACTGTTAGAGGAAAGGAAGTTATATTTTCCCCAAGTTCACTGCCAATACTTGTTGACAGCTTAACAGAGTTTTGCAGAGGAAAGCAGGCCTGAATATTCCATGGTCAAGCAGCTTCCCTAGAAGCTCTGAGTATCAACGGCAATTTATTTGGAAAACTCCTCAAAAGTTGTCTCCAGTGCTTGCAGCAGACCAGGTAACTTTCAAGCATATAAAAAGTAGGGTTCTTATTGTAAAGTATCATCCTGTACCTGGAAGTTTTCTTAAATGTAAGCCTCACTGAATTCACTGGGGATTTCTCCAAACTTAGGTTTGTATAGGAGTTAGGTTTACATAAATTAATATTGATGTACTTTCATTGCAATTATATTCAGGTTTATTTGGAAGTAAGTTCCACTGTATTCAGTTGAACTTGCTCCCAGTTAAACGTGCATAGGATTTCTGCCTTGATACACCAAAGCGTGGTGCATAAAATGTTACATGAGTTCTATATGAGGAATCTGTTTTATAGAATCATAGAATTGTAGAGTTGGAAGGAACCCAAGAGTCATCTAGTCCACCCCTTGCAATGCAGGAATCTCAACAAACCATCCCCCATCAAGTTTGAAACCATGCTGGACCCTGCTTATCTTTGCAAATGTGCTAGCAGTTTTATTGCAGCACCATTCTTACGTACAGTATTTTACTAGGTAGAATCCCACAGATAAGCAGTTATCATTGGGGAGCATGACTTGTGTTTACTAAGCTGGATCAGTGCCATAACAACTGAGAAGTATAGACCTCTCAATTCATTATGACCTTGTTGAGTGATCTAGGAGACTTAAGCACTATTAAATCTCACTGGTTTCAGTGCAAGATCTAGGCTGCAGTCCTAGTCCCCTTACCTGGATATAAGCCCTCTTTAACTCAGTGGAAGTTGCTTCTGAGTAACGGTGGTTAGGATTGCACTGTTAATTTAGCTTTAGAAATCAACAAATTAACATCTTTTCTGAACCAAAGTTTATTCACAGTTCAAGTAAATCCATCCCTCCATATAAGTCTCCTGTCATTATTCCTGAAACTGAATATGAAAGGAGTTTCAAAGCTTCACCCCCTGTGAAAGAACGGAAACAGAGATGCTGTTTGGAGGAGAAAGAATGTCCTGTATCTGAACCTGTAGAAATTTCGTATGGAGAAAAGGTATTACAGATTCATATTTAAGTAATTTTAAACGATTTCAAATAACTTTTGAAGTTAATACTTTGTATATATGAAGATTATCAGGATCACATTAGATTCTCAGCTGGTGACTCTGATTATATGGGGAAAGAAGTGTTTTTTAAAAAAAAATTATAAGGATTTTTTAATTATAAAGTGTTGCATTTTATCTTTTCATTGAACCTTTAGCAGTGGATTGATAACATTTGGGATGCCATGTTTCTGAGCAAAGTTACTGAGCGAGTACAAGAAGCATGGAACCCCAATGTTAAGAAGGATGTAATGGCACTATGATTTTCATTTATCAACTGTGTGGAAGCTGTTCAAGCTTCTAATCACGCACCAGTAAAGTACAAATACATGCTGTTTCCCCCCCTGTGTTTTGGCTGCATAACTTACACATGCAAAGTCTCCTTATAAGCTCCCCCTTAGGCTGTATTCTTCCAATTATTCCAAAGGCTTACCCATGATATACTAAAGTGAATTTCACTTTCTTCCTAATTAGTTATCATGTATTGTTATGTGTGTTCTTCCTTTTTACTGCTTGTATTTTTAAATTTAACTCCATAGTAAAAAAAGATTTTTTTAAAAAAGTAAGTCTCTAAAACTGAACTTCATTAAAACAAAACAAAACAAAACAAAACAAAACACTGGGGTTGATATTACTTCTTATTTCATTTCATTTTGATGCTTCCCATATGGTAATGGGCCAGAGTTCAGTAGTAAAAGCAACTGCTTTGCGTGTTGATGGTCCCAGGTCCAATCTCTGGCGTCTTCAAGTCACGCTGGGAAATATCCCTGTCTGAAACCCTGGAGAGATACTACTGTTTATAAAATATGTCAACTAAACATTCTTCCTCAATTAAAGATATCTGAACACTTTCACATTTCAAATTTTCCCGAAACTGCTGGTACATTGAGAAGTGTCCAGACTTAAGATAATGTCTGATAGAAATGTAGTTTGTAGAGGCCTCTGGAAAAATTAATAATGTGTTTCTGAAATTTTTGCTTCAGAAAAAGGAAAAGGAAACATTTTTGAAGACTGCAGAAGATCAATCAAAGCTAAGCAAATCGGAAACAAAGCTGAAACAACAAAAACAAAAACATAGGTTACTTGGCTTACATAGAAATATTAAGTAAGTATCACATGACAGTTTTAGAGGGGGAGCCACATTAGTCTGGTGCAGCAAACCAACAGCGTCTTGTGGCACCTTTTAAAATCAGAATTGTGGAGTTGGAAGGGATCAAGAGGGTCATCTAGTCAAACCCCCTGCAGTGCAGGAATCTTTTGCCCAATTCATTTAATCTAGCATCTTGTAGGAGGAAGCTAAAGATTTATCTCCAAATTGTGGCTAAATAGGATATCATAATTTTAATAGGATGCAGTTCAATAGCTCTAAACTAAACTAAGTGAGAGATTTGCAGATGCACAGAGGACATTAGTGGCTGACTATGCCCTGAACCATCTTGGTCATGGCTGAAGTAAGCCAGAAGTAACAAAAGCTCATCCTAGGAACCTCTATTCAATACATGAAACAATATACAGTGGTACCTTGGGTTACATACGCTTCAGGTTACACACTCCGCTAACCCAGAAATAGTGCTGCAGGTTAAGAACTTTGCTTCAGGATAAGAACAGAAATTGGGCTCTGGCGGCGTGGCAGCAGCAGGAGGCCCATTAGCTAAAGTGGTGCTTCAGGTTAAGAACAGTTTCAGGTTAAGTACGGACCTCCGGAACGCATTAAGTACTTAACTCGAGGTACCACTGTAATAAAAGAGCAGTGCATCTTAGAATGTGCTGAGTGGTTTTTGTTCTGCTGAGCGAAGCCAATCCCCCCATATCTTCAAGGTGGACTTGAGACAGTGTGTGCCTCTTTTTACAAATGAATTGCTGCTAATAGCTCACTTCTCTTACAGGTAATGTTTATTTCCCAGTGTTTTGCCTGGACCTATATCATACAACATTTTCTCTCTCTTTAGTATTAGGATGAAAGATTTAGAGGGGGGTGGGAAGCAATGACAAAGTTTATCAGATAATTGCAAAATAATAAATCTCTCTCCCCACCCTGTGAACTTGCTTTTCCCAGGAAAATGAACACAGAATACAGATCAAATTTCTTGTCTCCAGCACAGTATATGTACAAAGATGGAGCCTGGCTACGTATCAGGGGAAACAAACCTGATCAGGTCAGTCATCACTTTGAGTATTTCCATCTTATTTGTGAGCAGAGAAATTGGGGATGGTGGGAACCATTTCACTGAATTTCTCCAGGAGGAGAAGTTATGCAATAGCATCAGTGAGGTGGGGTTTCTCATTACCTGTGGCAGTGGTTTAGGGCTGAATCCAACTAAATCATTTCGCAAGGGAAGCTGCTTCCACATGTTCAGTGAAACTTCCCCTCCCTCTCCTCTCCCCATGCATCCCCTGCCCTACTCCCAAAACTGCTCGAGAGGCTTGGGAGGGCACCCCACAGCATATTTGGGGTGGGTGGGGGAGGAGAGAAAGGGGAATCCTGTTGCACTCATGGAAGTTGTTTTGCTTGCACAGTGACTTGCTTGGATACAACCCATAGGTTCCTGACTATCATTTTGCACTGTCCAGGTATAGTGTCCTTTTGTTTAAAGTGGTACAGTATTGCTTTAAATGAATAGTTCAGGTAGGGCGTCAGTGTTTAATTTTCTACACCCTCTAACACTGGGCTTCAGGCCCCAAAGAGACTCTTTGCAAATTGCTGAGTGACAGCGTGAAAGTATAGTTATAAAGCCTCCCCAAGGGAGCTGTTGCCTGAAGGCAATTGCTTATGTGTTTTGTAAAGTGTATGTTTACTTTTGGTATAAATTCACCTCAAATTAGACTTCTGAAATATTAATACAGGGCAATTCATAATCACAGTAGGGATTTCCGGAGCCTAGGACCTGCTGGGATAGTGAAACTGAGGTGTTCTTTGTGTTTCTTCATAATTCACCACAGGCATTCTCAATATCCATTCCCATCTCCTCCCAAGGTGCCCAGTTGCTCTGACCATGCATGCATCTCTTCTGCTACAGTTTTTTGCTTTTCAATCAATTTTTGCATGCAGAAAAATGGATCTTTAAAATAACAAATTCCCAAATCTGTGTTTAGTAAAAGGGTACTAAAACTTTACAGACATATGTCAGAAAGCTCTCAAATTTCTTGATATTTGGAGATCTCGGTGTGTGTTAATTTAAGCACAGAGTGACTTTCTCATTGATCTTTGCTATCTAGTCAGATTGTGCTGCAAATACCAGCAATCCTATTCCCTGAAATATATAAAGGTAATTTTAAAAAGCATTTTATAGCTTGCTTAGCTTGGTGAATATGTTAATATACAAAGAGTTTCCATTCCTTAGATTTTGTGAAGTGGTTTATAATAATAAACATGACCGTACAGTGCCTGCAAGTAAAAGCTATGGGTTGTAGCCAACTAAATCCTACTTGAATCCTAATTAATAGACCTAAGTTAGCCATTAATATCAGTGGGTCTTCTCTCAGAATTTAGATAAAACCCTATGTTTGTACTGTTTCTAACTATTAACATAACACTAACAGTTTGAATGCTTTGATATTGTAGAGATGTTGTTGCAGAAATTATGATACACCAGTAAAAATTAGGGCTCTGTATAATTCTGTATATTCATGGCTAACATTAACTACATGAAATACACATGCAAATATTTAATCCTGCAAGTGTCAGATTGGTTACTGATAACGCATAGTTTTAAATAGGGATGTTTATTAAGAATGCCATTAAAAACAAGTCATAAAGACAGTGGATCACATTCTTTGTAAACTGAACTGTAGGAAGCAGGATAACACCACAATCCCAACAAAAGGAAAGGGAGATTTTTCATGTGAGATTGAATCTCATTTACCGTAACATAATCAAATAAGTAAATAAATGCTATTTTATTTCTGTGTTACTTTCTTTAGGGTTCTCAAAACACCCTAAATACCATGTGGTATATGGAGGTTGGTTGCATCTAAGTTCTTCCTGCTTGGAGCAATTATAACATTTCTGAACCTTCAAAATGAAGGCATTAAGCAAATGTATAGCTGGTAGGCTTTTTGTGCTTGCTGCATAATTTATTTAACAGCTGTGCTTGGGCTTGGCCGCTTGTAACACTTGCTTACTTTAAAAACTGTATCTGCACTCTTTCCCTTTGTTACATATGCTGCTCCTTGTTGGTGCTGCCGCTGGTCATGTACTGTACATGTATTCTGTGACGCGCTGCTCTGTGCTGTCAGTTGTGACTATTAAATGAATTAATAGTTTTAAACAAATGTTACAAACCACAATAAAAAACCCCAACTTTGTGAAATCTTCATACCCAGGTGAAAGAACTTCGGGAGAAAGCAGAGGCCTACAGGCGAAGGGTCCAGGGAACCCACTTTTCCAGAGATCATTTAAATCAGATTCTGTCAGATAACAACAGGCTTTGGGATTTGTCCTCTAATTCCAGTGCTGAAGAAATCATTAGCAACAATGTCAGAGCTCTAGATCTTGCAGGGTAAGGGATTCTGTGTGGAATAAGCCGACCCGGAATACGATAGTTTAAGAAATGGAATATTCATTTCACTAAATGAGTGCAATTTGTGGTTACAGCCTCTAATATTCCAATCATATCGCTTCATGCAATGATCTTGAATTCATTTAGGACGGCTCTAGAAAAAGCATGCTAAAATGGCCATTCTTGGCATGAAATTCTCCCTTTTTTCATCTCCACAATGTTAGTAATGAAACATATGAATGTTTGTGTGTATGTAGTAATATTTTTTTTTGTGGCAGAAAACTTTTTAAACCAAGAAGTGAAATCAAGTTCAGTGGGGTTTATTTCATAGCTATTTTATTAGCAGCACAACCTTAAACATATTTATTCAGAAGTAGAACCCTTTGATTTTAATGACAAATACTTCCATGAAAATATGATACGTGACTGTAGCCTATGTAAAATTGATTTCAAGCACTCAGCATCTCTAGATCATAGTGGAAATATGTGTGTGAAGACCGTTTTTTGCAGGCAGCACATCTGTGCTTCCACACAAGAACATGCTACATGGGGGTAAGAGGGGAAATGAATCCAGTAACTGAGTGCCCCTATAGTGCCCTTCAGTTTTTGTTGTTGGGTGTCAGCTCCTATTAACCCAATCCAGCATGGTTAATATTCAGGTATTATGGGAATTCTAGCTGAGAACATCTGAAAAGGCACCAGGTTGGGGAAGACTGCCCTTCTGGCCCTATTCAGTAGGAGGTTTAGTAGGAAGCAGCAGTCATATCCGACTCTTCTATATCTAAGTTTAAAATTCTGCATTACAGTATATATACAGGAGTTGGAATTCAAAGAGTTACTTTAGGCTTGGGCATGTCTGATGAGCTTTTGGCTTTTTTATTTAACCAATAATCCTCAGTGCCATTTTGCAAACTTGCCTTGAAAGTTATCTCAGTTTCAAGCGTTTTTTGTGTGACCTGAAGCCACCCAGAGCACCTTTGATCTTACAGAACTGGTTATGCAATTTTTTGAATACTGGCTGCAAAGGCTTTAGTTTACAAGTTTAAAACCCTAGTGGATTCCCTACAAGCTGAACTACGTGTATGTTGGTATGAAGTATAAAACTTATCAGAGTTTATACGATAGTTTTGCTTTTAATCATATGTTTGAGTCTGATCAGTATATTTCTGAATACATAAGGGAACATCCTGAATTCACTGCACTGCTTGCTTCCTCTTTATACAGGGTCCGTGAGAGAAAGCTCTTGCCACATCCTGAATTGCCAAAACAGTTCCAGCTGAACAACACTGGGAAATTAGGCATGTCAGACGCTGCCACTGTTCCAGTCAAACAGCGTTTGGTTTGGGACAAACCAGGCAATGATGAGCAACTGGAAAATCAGTCACCAGCATTAGAGGAAGAAGAGGGGGTGAAACGTAAGCCGGAACCGGAAGAGATCGAAGAACTGGAAGAAAACGATAAGGATGCAAATACAGACGCCCAGCAAGTGTAAGTATCTAAAATTATGTTTCAAACCAACGTCATTCAGTTATGACAATTACACGCAATGTAATTGTAAGTAGGGCAATGACAGTTTCACTAGGTAATGGAGAAATCAAATCGATGTACATGAATGAGGTTAGAAATTACTATTTCAGTTTGAACTAGTTTTTTTTTTGTTCTTACTAATTAGCCACAGGAGACATTTCAAGCATCACTATTCATTCAGAAACTGTTGGTTGCCACTTGTTGCTAATCCTAAATTGCACGACTTGCAATAAACCATGGCTTTCCTGTTTGGATGCAGTGATGAGCTAATTAAGCCTAGTATGCCAAGGGACGGTGTGGTGGGAGCACATGAGTACCAGGCTTGTTCATGTAATGCCGTACCATGTTTTGAAGTTGTATCAAGAAAGGATGATTAACCTCCTGCTGCCATACACACATGGATTATTTTACTCATATTGCAAATTGGGAATTGCTCTAAAAACCATGCTGAAAGTTACTTTCCATGTTAGTTTTTTTCCTCCTTATGGGAAGCAGCTGGAAAATGGCTGACAACACATGACTTGGTAACATGAGAATCATGAGATAATGGTTTAGAGATACAGCTGGTGACATTCTTCAAAGCATATTAAATATGAAAGCATCATTTTTTTTAAAAAGTATGTGCTCACTCTTTGATATTGATAAAGATCACAAATGGGAAAAGTTGACAAGGTAGATCCAACTTCATTTGCTGGTGTACAAATATGAAATGAAATTTATTACGGTCCCAGACCAGTTTTGGTGTGCAAATATAACTAGGAGCATAATGACTGTTTTGTAGTGATACTAAGACAGGACACATTCTTAAGATAGAGAAGAACAGGAAAACCAGGTAGAAAACCAGTATTACTGGGGGTCGAAGTTGCACTAAAGATAACACTATGGGGGCCATAATGGTGAAAGGGAGGAGGCTTTTTGGAAATCTGTGAGGCCAGTGAGTCATTGGTGTTAGACAGCCATTAATAATTTAGATTGGATAAAAAGAATGATTCTGTCTATTGGACCGAATGTGTAAAATTCCTAAGCGGTCTACCTAGAATATTTGTGGGAACCAAACCCACAGAAATGAAGATATAACTGTATATTTTGAAGGCTCTCTTGTGGTTTTCATTCTCTCTTGCTCATGGCCTATATAATATGTAGAACTTTCCCTGGGAGAGCAAACAAAATAAGATTCTTCAATTTATTAATTATGGCCACCAATAAATTACAGGATACACTTTTTACCATGTGTATATTTGTATGTGTCAGAGCTGCTCCCAGATCCTAGCTCACAGAGGATCACGCTAGCCAGCGTTCACTTTATAAAAGTCTTTATTGAGTTACAGTTTCCATTTCCAAGCTGCCGCGTGCAGCTCTACGTCTTATAAGCTAGACCGGCGAAGCTCCGTCTGAGTCTCCGCCCCTTGTACACCAACTTAATACCCTCGCCTTACTCCACCTTTTCCGCCTGACCGTCCTTCTCTGGGTCCCTCTGCCCCCCGTGGTCTCTTCCTTCCTGGACTCCTCTGACGCTGACCCCCCGGACCCTCCTGTCTCCTTGCGTCGGGCTTTAGGACCTGGCTCCCTTTCCGGGCTGCTTACTGCGCCGCCTTCCTGTGCATTTGAACTTGGCGCGCGCGCCCAACCTTCCACTTTCCGCTTGACCGTTTCTTCGCTCCCCGATGGAGGTGTGGCCACTCCTGACTCATGCCCTCCTCCCTGCTGCGAGCTGCCAGAGCTCGATACCTGACGCCCTTCCTCTCCACTGCGCTCTGCTGGGGACGCTGGCCCCGATTTCCAACTGCTGCCCTCTGAACCCCCTCTGGCCCCTTCTTCCTGGGGTGTCCCCCTAGGCTCCCCCTTTGCTCTGGCCACTGGCGCTCCTTTCTGTGAATCTTCTGATTCACTGGAGAGACTCGGAGATCTCGGGTCGTCGTCATCACTCATCTTTTCTTCGGACTCCTCCCCCTCGCTCTCTGTTTCCTCCCTTGCCCTCGCCTCTGCTCCTGAACCCCTGACAGTATGTTTTGTCATATTTTTCAGAGAAGAAAACATGAATTCTCCAGGTGATATGGCAGAGTCTTCTTTGGTATCCTCACAAGAGGGTGGCAGGCTTCCTACCCCACAGCTAAGGGCACTTGGTGGAGCCCAAAGAACACACCATGACCTTACAACACCAGCTGCTGGTAACAATTTAATGATTCATAGATATAGATACAATATAAAAACAGAGACATATAGATATATAGACCCACCCACCCACACCCCTTAAATATAAAAAGAACACAAAGCAATTTATTTCTGGAAATTCAGCATTAACAATAGTGTGTTCTTTTATTCCTGTAGGAGGTGCTGTTTTAGTATCTCCTCCAAAAGTGAAGTCTTCATCCTCGCTGCATGTGAGGCAGGGGTCTTCAGAAAAGCATGCCTTGGCAAGTCAAATCTCAAGGGAAGACTTGAAAAGAAAATCTAACAGGGCGGTACGTTTTGCTTAAAATTTGCTTAGAATTACCATTTGTTTTCACTTTCTTTGTTTTCACATCTACTGAATAAAAATGACAAATTATCTAGTGTTATCTGTTGAAGACCGTGAAGCAGTTATAGTTTTATCAAACAAATGTCATGGAAGTAACTGGGGAAATAACAGACTTTGTATTCCTATTGCTAAACATTGCACAGACATGCACTAACCCCTGATGGAGTGTTTTAATGCATGGTTTAGACTGAAAGCACTCCCTATCAGCCCCTCCTCAGAGGTTCTGAGATTTGGAGAACCCTTTTCTTTCCACTATGCTTGAGGTGTGGAAGAGGAGTCAGGGGTACCTGGCTTCCCGGCCGTCTCTACTACACCCTTTCCTGGATCACCCAGGGTCTACCTGCCTGGGACATTATAACCAATTTCATATGTGGGAGGAGGCTGGTAACTCAAGAGAGGGGGATCTATTTGAGAGGGAGCCCCCGAGGCCCCCAAATCCCCCAAATCAGCTTATGACGCTGTTCCTGATCCTAAAAAAAATTGACTAACAGTGCTATAGGCCTGTAGCTATGCAAAGCAAATGGCCTTCCCTAGACCACTGATTGACAGCCTTTGAAAATGAGTGCCAGTGATACATTATCTGCAGGAATGGGCCGGTCTGAGATTTGTATTAGATGCTATTGAATGCAGTTTCCAAAGTTTATGTGCTAAACAGGACAAGCTCAGCCTCAGTGAAGCAAGCGTATCTGAAACTAATTCACCACTGGTGCCTCCCTCTGGTGAAATTAAGTCATAGTAAACCATCCCTATCATTTGATGGTTGGAGATGGATGCTCGGAATGAGGCTCCTACCTCCACTTATGCGATTCAACCTTTGATCATTTCTAAAATGACTAACTAAAGGTAAAGTTAAAGGGACCCCTGACCATTAGGTCCAGTCGTGACTGACTCTGGGGTTGTGGCGCTCATCTCGCTTTATTGGCCGAGGTAGCCTGCATACAGCTTCTGGGTCATGTTGCCAGCATGACTAAGCCGCTTCTGGTGAACCAGAGCAGCGCACGGAAACGCCGTTTACCTTCCCGCCGGAGCGGTACCTATTTATCTACTTGCCCTTTGATGTGCTTTCGAACTGCTAGGTTGGCAGGAGCAGGGACCGAGCAACAGGAGCTCACCCCATCGCGGGGATTCAAACCGCCGACCTTCTGATCGGCAAGTCCTAGGCACTGTGGTTTAACCCACAGTGCCACCCGCGTCCCTCTAAAAATGACTAACTAGATGATCTCGAAAGCAGTCCCTTCAGCTCTTTCCCCCCTCTATTTTCACTGGCCCAAAACTCCTCCATACACAGCTATTAACCTGCATTTATGCACTCATGAATCTAGTTTGAGGGACTCGTGTGTGCAGAAGTGATCAGTTAAATGTGACATTCATTTAAAGTAACTTCAATGTCTGCAGCCAGACATAGCTAACTAAGTGGAAAAGGAGAGTCTTGTTCATTTCCTGTGAACAGCATTGGCATAGTTTTTCACAACGTGACAGGGTCTTTTTTTCAACTCTGTCTTTTCAGGATGACGAGGATACGCCACTGAGTCCTTCCCCAGCTGCTGGGCTGAAAACTGTGGATCCTTTGCCTCTGAGGAAAGATCAATGGTGCAGCCGAGAATCGTCAGGTGCAAGAAGCTCTCCAGCTTCAGCATATTCAGGGCAGACAACAAAAGTTCCTGGCTTAAAATCAGCCAAGGATGCTTCTTTGCCCTATTGGAGTCCATCGTGCCGCATTCAAGGAATGCTTAGGGATCCTGAGTTTCAGCATAATGGTTGGCTTACTTTCTACACAATTTTGCACCTTTTTTAGATAGGTAGAATGGCTTTAAATAAGAGCTTCTGGGTCTTGGCAGGAGCAGCAATAGAAACTCTTCATTTCTGTGAATCTGTACATTGAAAAATACCCAAGTGTCTCCTATTACCCTGCAATGTGACCCCACATTGAAAAACTGAAACAGCCAAAAGTAGACAGCTCCCTTAAGCATGCAGAAACTTTCTATTAAATATGTTTCTCAACATATTTATATATCATCCACTGATAGAAAATATTAAAGCAATGTATATGTTGAGAGTAATGCAAGCTGAACGCCTAATGTGCATAACAACTGGCTGTCATGCATACTCATCAGGCCACTTGATGGCATTGGACCCAATTTGGGCTCAAGCCTGGCACAGGGATTTGCCTGGCCCCTCACACCTCTTGCCCCATTTGGTTTGAGCAGCGGGGCTGCAAATGCATCCCTGGCCCTACTATTCTGTTAGATTGTGATGCCCCCTGGCAGGGTTTCGATTACGCATATAGCCTGTGTTTCTGGCTTGGCAGTATCTGTTCCTAGAGCCTTGAAAAGGCTATATCAATGGAAGCAGGAACATGCATCCTTTTCCCCAGCAGGACCTGAATTCTCTTGGAGGAGATCTGCCAGCAGTGGGGTGGGACCACAGATAGTTCACGCTGTTTCTGTTCCAGCCCTCTTTTCCCTGCTGGGTAACCCTTCCTCAGCTGGTTAACTCTTCCCTCGTCTGCAGTTCTGATGATGATTCACCCCATGGTTGCTATTATATTCAGGGGTGTGGAAAGAACAGGGGTAGCTTACAGCTTTGCTCTTCCTGCAATCCCTGCTTTTGCTGCTCATTTGACTAGGGAACAGCTGAGAAGTGAAAGGAGGCTGAGCTGCAGAAAAAAAGTTGATCTTTATCTGGAGGTCTGCCCCTTCCTCTTCTGCTTGACTGATCAGTGGGAGGGTATGTTGGGGGGCCACAAAGGATTAGGCAGTGGCCCAGAAGCAGTCCGAGGGGGTGCAGATTTCACACTTCTGAACTAGAGAAAGAAAGAAAAAGGCATGTTTCTTGAAGACTATTTATACTAAGTGGAGAATGTGCATATTGCGCGGGAAGTGTAAAAGATTTGGTTGAGAGACCCACATTCCCCAAGGCCTGTTGGAGATTATGTATATTTACTTGGAAATGTGTACAGTTGATTCTTCATGCACAGATTTATGTGCATATTCTCCATGAAGTCTGATGAATGCAGATGATGGCTGGCTGTTATGCACACTAACCACTCGATTTGCACCACCACGACCTATACAAATACAATAAAACAATGCAAAATAATCATAAAAATGACTGGGTCATCTTGAAAAACTTTTGAGACAACCAAATAGGCCCGTTGGCGTAAAAAAAGAGTCTTCAAGAGATGTTGGAAGGGTAGCTACAGGGATACCTGCTAACTAAAACAAATAGGATTGAAATGGAGGCAGTGACAAATCATGGATGAAGATAGATTATAAGTAGACTGTTGTAGCAGCTTTCTTTTCAAACAGTTCACACTGAGAGAATACAGTTGGACTACATAACCCCTACCAACTCCATATGTCTATGATTCTATGTACAATATGGATATTTTTCTTTACATCTCAACACTAATCTGAAGGAGTTAATATTTTGGGGGAATGCTTTGTTGACCAACATTGTTGAAGAACGTTGACTGTACATTAGTGCTGTATTTTTCTGTGTATAAGACGCCCCCATGTATAAGACGACCCCTATTTTTTTAAAACCAAAATTACGAAATTAAGTTGTTTAACTTTTTTGGGGGGCGGGGGAGGTCACTTCCACCAACTGCTCCCCTGCCTGCCTGCCACTGCCATTCACTTGCCACAGCCACTTCTGATTGCATACCTCTCCACAGCCGCCAATTGTCTGCCCGCTCGCCGCCACCAACAGCCCACCCACCCACTTGCCGCAGCCGCCATCGCTTGCCCGCCTCTCCACAGCCACCAGTTGCCTGCCCAGTTGCCTCAGCCACAGCCAGTCACCAGCAGGCCTTGCCACAGCCACCAATCATCCGCCCAATCGCTGCTGCTAATCTCTTGCCAGCTGCTGGCGTTAATCACACGTTCCCCCTCTGCATTCACGATCCATGTATAAGACGACACCCAATTTGTGCCTGTTTTTTTTTAGCAGAAAGCGTCGTCTTATACACGGAAAAATATAGTATATTGGCTTTCCCATGAGGAGGTAAAGTATTTGTGGACTGGAGAAATGCAATGTTGTGTGCTGTTTCTTTTTAGGCGGTGTTGCAAGCCCTAAAAGGAGCTGGATGCAATTACCACTTCAGGAGAGAAACTATAATGATGAAGGTATTTCTCCTCTTTTATCCATGTTAAATATAACTAGAGCCGTTAATAATTTTTAGGCATTTATTATTAATGTAGTCATTAATAATAACAACACATAATTCTGTACAGTATTTTAGTTCCCACCCCCCAGTAGGAACTATGAAAGCTGTTGTAAAAATAGATATTTCATACTAATTCATGCTAATGGAAACTTTAAAAGTGTGTATAAATATATAACCAGTCTCTCTCTCTCTCTCTCTCTCTCTCACACACACACACACACACACACACGTGTATGAATATGAGAATGTATATGCATGTGTTATGCAGTGAACTGTTCTGTTTGTGACGAATATAGAATCCCATGGCTTGATTTTAGTTCAGTGGAACCTTGGTTGTCGAACATAATCTGTTCTGGAAGAGCGTTCGACTTCCGAAATGTTCAGCAACTGAGGTGCAATTGCTAGTAGGCAAAACCCATTGAAAAAATGGAGAAACATGCCTCAGAAGCTGTTTGACTTCCGAGGCGTGTTTGAAAACGGAAGCATTCACTTCGGGGTTGTTGGCGTTCTAAAGCTGAAACATTCAACTTCCGAAGCGTTTGACAATCAAGGTTCCACTGCATGTCTTCCCACTGACTATGTTTGGATGTAGTGTTAACTGTGGTTGAGAGCTACAAGAGCAGTCCTGAGTGAGCCTTGGCTCTGTGCGCTCTCCTCAGGCCATGGTGGACCCTAAACTGTCGTTAACATTAATCATGGTCAGTAGAAACAAGCCAGCTTCATTAAGTATGGTTTGAAGTTGGCTTGTTTCAATGCACAGTATTCAGTATTCACCACAATTAAGTGTTACATCTGAATAAAGCTGTTGTGTAGACCTCTGTAGCCATTCCAACCCTATACCATTCCAAGATCATAAGTACATGGGGAAAGAATTTTAGTATGCCCTGATTTATTAACTCCATTGGAACATGAAGACTACAAAACTTAACACCATGTCTGCTACATGTAGTAGTCCCTTAGCAGCCTTACCATCCCTTGTCTGTGCATAGCATCTTAGATTTGGTTTCAGTTTTGCCTCTAACCATTCTTCTTCATTGCATTGTTCTCTTGGGATGACAAAGCACATATTTGATCAAATATTTTCAAACTCTACGATCTCCCTAAATGCACCTTTTAGATTTGAACTGCAAATAAGATCAAGGGAGTGTTTGACTGGAATTATGATGCTAACTACCATCTAGGGCCTAGGACAAGGAGAGAGTAGGGTCATTCAGGTCTCCACTGAATTTCTTAAGGATCATTATATATCAATCCCAGGCAAACAAAAAGTGGATAAATAGAGGAGACCACAGGCTAAATCACACAATTATTTCTGAGACAGTGAAACCTGTACAAAATAATGATGCTACATAGTTTTCAAATGGGGAACTGTTGGTGAGAAACGGCCCTCACAACCACATAAAAAGAAATACTTACAGTTTTCTTTCCACCTCTGTAGCTTTGCAGCTTTTGATGTAGGGTCATGACTTGCACACACACACAAAAACAACAACCCCGAGGTGGAAAAATCTGTGTTCATTGGTTTTAGCACCTCTGAATTAATGTGTGAATCATCTCTAACACTTGCCGTTAAAGAGGAATTGTTTAGCTTGCAATGCCCCATTGCACAGACTGAGACGGGAGATGCTTGGAAGTACTTGCTCAGAATTAATGGCTGCATATGCAAATATCATAGAAACTGCGGCACCTTCTGAGTAAGGTCCACCTGATACTTGGCTCTTTTAGCAGCTTTCAGTAATAGCTAAGACTGAAAAGTGTGTGGGCTGTGCAGATTGCTCAGCAAAGCAACTATAAATGTTTACAGAAAGCCTCTAAAGTCAACCAGGGTCTTCAGCAATGCCCTGCAGTCTCATCAATCTTCTTGAGATGACAGATCGTTGCCAAACAGTTGCTCTGCTACTGAAAACAAATGATTAGCAGCAGAAAAACTAGTATCTGAAATTTTATCTAATTTTAAATGCACACATTTACTGTGCAGTGCTTAGGTGCTGAGTCTTGGCACCTCTTTAATGGTAGTTTCAGGAAAGGAACTATAGTGATGGAGGTAGTCTGTAATATTTCTTGCATACAGTGTTTTTGAACATTTCTCAGGCAAGCTCTTTCAGAAACTTAGTACCACAAAACTAGCATATAAAGACAAACCAGGCAGCTGCTCTTTCAACAGCTTTCCGGTTTGGTCTCTTGCGATTATGGCAGGCAAAACTCTTGATGATGTTGTATTACAAAAATAGTGACTTGGTAGAAACTCTTAATTTTGTGTGGATTTGAGCAAAATATGGTTCATGGGTAAATATGTCCATCTATCAGTTCATGCTACCTGCAGCAGGATTCCTTCTTCTCCTTATGTGCAGTCCATAAGTTACATGGTAGCCAGAGGTGTACAGCCTGCTGAGCAGAGCACTCAGAGTGCACATTGGAAGCGATGCATGAATCAAGAGTGTACCTCAGAATTCTTTGCAGTGTTGCAGAAGATGTTGTGGCATGCCTCTTGGCTCATGCTTTGATTTCCTAGAACTGGGGTGCAAGCAATATTTTCCACCGTAGAGTTTTCTGTAGCTTCAATCCCCTTGTGTGTGCTGTTGCTACATCTGTATCTTCTTACAGCTAAGTTCACCCCACGCAGTATGGTCAAAAGTGTGGCCCATGTTAACTGTCAATGAAAGTAAAATGGTATTTCCACTGGACTGAGTTTGCACCAGTACAAGAAAGCATACTTTGGAATCACATGTGTTCATTTATGTGTTTGGTCCTTTCAGAAATAAAATACAGCACCTCTAGTTTCAATATTAATAGGTTGTTCTTAAAAAGTATAATTGTGTTGTTGTTTTTTAAAGTACCATACAGTTCAGGAAGCTTTGAAGGTGTCATAATTTTAAAAACCAATCTAAATCTGGCTTCACTATCCATATATACTCCTAATTCCCCAGTGTAGAAAATAATTATATGTTTGTTGGTAAGTTTGTGTTAACCTTACAGCTCCTAAAGAGGACAATGTCCATTTTAGCAAGCCCCTAAGCCTATTTTGCTTATCTTGTTACCATGGATCTGATTGGTTCTCCCCCCCCCTTGTTATGTTTACAGATGATGATGACCGATTGTCCCAGCTATCTGCTCGATCTGCTGCTTCTAGTTCACTGGCATCTCAGGTTCTAGAACGAGCGCAGAGGAGAAAGGAGAACTTCTGGGGCAAAATGTGATTGTGTTCAGCTATACTCCTGAAATGTTTTGGTATTTTAATACCAATTTCTGGAAATTATTTGAGGCTGAATTCTGGTTGTTTGCACTTACCACTTTGGTAAAAGGGTCCCATATAGGAAATGCTGGATATTCACATCCCCTTATCTTGGATAGGACAGGGATAGATGACCTGTGATCCTTTGGGAGTTTTTGCATGACAGCTCCACTCTGGTCATTGGCCGCACTGGCTGGGACTGATGAGAGCTTAGAGTCCAGCAACATCTAGAGGTCACAGGCAAGGTTCCTGCTGGCATGGGTTCTGGGAATGCACAACCTGTCTTAGATTTGAGCTCTACCTCATTTGGTCACAAATGTTTTTAGCTAGAGCAGTGTCAGTTTTGTTCAAATGGCATTATAGCAGAGAAGTGTTCATCTTCATCCATCACAAAGAGGAGATCGTCAAGTATTCCCAGTGAAGTAAGAGTAACTAACATGAAGGATGAACCCAGGTGTAGGTTGCCAGCAACCTTCATTGATTCCTGACCTCAGCATTTCTTCATCTCTTCTGGCACTCACTGAGCCCCAAAATCCTTTAATCCCACCCAGCATATTCATATAAATAAGTCAGATTCCTCGTGTCAGATTCATCAGCACTGATCTTTATGCTCCAATGCAGTCTTGGCATTCACCCAAAGCTATTATGGACCTAACATGATTTTTGACTTGGTCATGTCTGTGCAGGTTCCAGCAGGAATCAATGTAGCTTCTGTGGCTGCCTTGGCAATACCAACCTGAGTCAGTTTTCATTATGAGAGTACCAAGTAAGAGACAACCACAGAAGTTACTCTCATGACCCAACACCACAGCATCCTGTTACTTTGGTTCTGTCCTCAATATACATTCCAGTGTCACTCCCCTTCACCTGTTAGCAGTTTTATCATAAAGACGAAGCTAAATCTCAGTCCCTAATACTCCAGGTAATGAAGCCCAGGAGCAGTATCTGAACCGAAGTGTTCTTCAACATTTCACAGAAGGAAAGGTTATTGGCAGTCTATGAGCCAGACAAAGACTTGTTGCCACCCATTCAACTAGCGGTTGTTTGAGTAGTTGTTTAAAAGTAAATTTTAAACAGGCCTCTCACTTGGATTGGGACTGTCATTGGGGACAAAGAGTTAAAGCTGTGCTGCCCCAAACCAATGTCTGGATTGGGGCTCCCACACCTGCAACTTACTTTTTAAAATGATTCATATCATTGCTAATTGTGTGAATAGAATAATGCCTAGTTTGGCCCTAGTTGTATTTAAATCACAGTTGTGTTTCTCTGTCATGATAATTTTCAGGTTTGTACACGTGATCACTGTTAGCCATATTGAGTTTTAAATGTTGTATTTAGATCACCACAGCGGATTCTTCTCAAGACTCAGGGAATTGGAAGGAACTGAACTTGATGACAATGCAATGTTGTCTTGCTGTGCTGGTTCAGAATTATTAGCATTGTAGAAAGATTTTTAAAGCTAAAATGGGTTTATTCTTTCACAGATTAGCCCACAGCATTTTAACATTCAACAGCACTGTTTATAAAGAAGTGATGGAACTTTCATTATTATTTTTAATGTTAGAGTTTTATGATTAAAAAATTGCTTTTTATGTGTTTTAAAATAAAAATCAAATTGTATATTTGTGTACGTCAGATCCTTAATTAGAAATAACCCTGTTATAACTGGAGATTTCACTTTTGCATGCTTTTACCTATAATTCTGTTTTATTTCCACACTAATTGTGAAAGGTAGCTCTCAAAATCCATGCCATAATATTTAAATTAGTATTTTCTCTAAAAATAGCTACATTGTCAGGCTGGAGCCAGCAAGCGAGCAACAGCAGCTGCCAGACTTGGACAGCAGCCCAGGGCATGAAGGGAGAATTGTTAGGGGATGACCAGAGGGAAGTACAGGGGGGAGTTCACAGCCCAGAGAAACACAGGGGTTATCAGACAATGGCTTGCCTGCGCCAGTTTCCAAGCCTCTCAGCATGCAGGAACGCAGGAGAGGAGGGGTACAGGAAAAGGGGAAATTGACATCATAGAAGTCATGGAAGAGATGCATTTTCACACGTTGTTTCCAGAGGAAGAGGAACAACGCTGAGGATTTAGTTGAGTCATCATCAGGGTAGCCATAAGTCACAGGGGCAGAGAGCTCCGGACAAGTGGCATGTTTTTTCTGGAATAAAACCAACTTTTAATTGACTGTACATGTTCGCGTTGCCAACAAAGGTCCGTATAGTTAAAGCCATGGTTTTCCCAGTAGTGATTTATGGAAGTGAGAGCTGGACCATAAAGAAGGCTGATCACCGAAAAATTTATGCTTTTGAATTATGGTGCTGGAGGAGACTCTTGAGAGTCCCATGGACTGCAAGAAGATCAAACCTATCCATTCTTAAGGAAATCAGCCCTGAGTGCTCACTGGAAGGACAGATCCTGAAGCTGAGGCTCCAGTACTTTGACCACCTCATGAGACGAGAAGACTCCCTGGAAAAGACCCTGATGTTGGGAAAGATTGAGGGCCCAAGGAGAAGGGGACGACAGAGGATGAGTTGGTTGGACAGTGCTCTCAAAGCTACCAGCATGAGTTTGGCCTGGCGTGCTCTGGTCTATGGGGTCATGAAGAGTTGGACACGACTAAATGACTAAACAACAACAACCACATGTTCGCGTCTTGCTGCCGTTACATACATGCATACTTTGAGACTTTTAGATGACTGATGAAGTCAAGATGTGAATCAGGCAATTTCATACAGGAATTTGCAATTATTTAATCATCCCTGATTGTAATTCAGAAAAGACTCACCGAACAGATAAAAATTATTGTTTAAAATAAGTTCAGTTAAACAGAAATCCACTGCTGAAACCATTAATCTAGTCTTTGAAACTAGTGGCAAATGATCGTTTAAAAAGAAATAAATAATGGGTGTGTGTGATGAATCTGGTTAACTAAAGTTGCTGATATTTGGCCAGGACACAAACTCAGTTTTGGGAGGAGGCAAATTTAGCCCAGCCCTGATCACCTGCCCAAATGTGTGATTCATGCTGACCTCTTCCTTTGAGCTAAGGGTGAGGACACAGCAAACACTGAAGAATGGAAAGGTTTACAAAACAGCTATCTTATAGTTCATGGTGAGTCTGATTCCCAACCACCATGACCCTGGCTTGGAACAAGAATAGGAGGATTTCTTCCACACCTTTCACTGAGATATAGAGATGTTTGTAAAATGTCCTTCTGAGGAATGTTGGAGAGTATCAAACAAAATGAAAAGTGCTTGGTTGTGGCCAAGCCTCTCCTCTTCCCAGAGGGGAGGTGTTGTGAGCGGGAACTGTTCCCCCGTCAGCAGGGGGGCGTGTTTGGCCCCCTGCATCATCTCCCCAGCTGCTGCCCCTCCCTACAGTGGGCCAGCCAATAGGGTTGGCCTAGGGGTGGGGTTAGCCGCATTTAAGTGGCCGCGGTAGCCTCCGTGCCTCATTCTGCTTCCTGGAAGACGTCGGATCACCTGCCCGCCCACCCTTTAGGCTAGGTTTGTGCTCTTGACCTTGCTATGGACCTTGGTTGGTCACCCTGGTTGCCCAGGGGGCCTGGTAGGAGTTTTTGTCCATTTGGTTAAATTGGCACCAGCCTCATGGTTTTTCGCCTACCTCATAGCAATTCGGCACAACTTTTCCTGTTTTGGCGGCTAGGCATTGGAATATGTGTTGTGTGTTGGGGGATGGGGTGTGACCATCACCTATCCTGCCCCATTTTGAGTATTCCATTAAAGGAATCCGGCGGTCATGGATCCTGTCCGATGCCCTGCTGGTGGCTAGGGCCATGGAACGACCCCCAGTGACATCAGGGGAAGCTTCCAGTTGTATTTGCATTAACAAGCTCCTCCCACTGGTTGTTAACCTTCAAATGACCCCCTGCTGCGCAGGTGGGGTCGGATATAGGTTGTTTGATCCAATGCCTAAGCCAATACCGCTCACATGCTGTAACCAATAAAAGATGTGGCCTTTTTCAGCCCATTAACCTAAAATACTTGTGTCTGTGTCCATTTTTTTCTCCACTACGCGGGTTAGGGTCCTCGACTCACAAGCACATTTATACATCCATGTATATAGTATTAGCAAGAGGAGCCTAGAACTCTATAGCCAGGGCCAATAGTAGAGGCATATTTAGGGGAGTGTGCCTGGTTTGGTCACACTGGGTGCAGAGCTTTGGGGTTGCCATAAGGGATGTTGCAACTATGATTTAGAATAGGTTTCAAATTTTACTAGTGTGAAAACTTATTACTGGGGCCTCTGGGTTAGTACTCCTGTCAGAAGACAGAAGACAGGAGTGCCTGGCGTGCTCTGATCCATGGGGTCATGAAGAGTCGGACATGACTAAACGACTAAACAACAACAACAACTGAGTTAGCACATTACTGCACATAAAAAGCAGTTTGAGACTGCTTGGGAAACATCTGGGAGAGGAAGAGCCTTAGGCTGGGATCTTCCGCCTTGCAACTGGGCAAGACCTACCAGGAAGAGCTGCTGACACCACTAGGCTGAGTCGTATGCTTGTTTTCTTGAATAAAGAGTTAACTTTGCTAACAACGGAGATCTGCTTCCTTTATTGCAGGACTCCAGCCCTGACACTATGCACATGAAACCACTTCCTTGGGAAAATAAGAAAATTGGAATCTATCCAAATGTTTCACTTTATCTTTGCAGAGATTCCATTATGGAAGAACTATTTCTCTTTTTGAAAGGAGTATCCACGGAGGCTACTGCAGTGTCCTAGAGATTGCCCACCTGTATATAGAAGCATTTGAAATTAAAAGACTCTCATAAAACAGGCTATATAGAGTGTTTCTTCCTAACAGATGGTGTGTGTGTGTGTGTGTATAGGGTCTAGGTTCATTTAAGTGACTTTTTCCAATTATTGGGTGATTAAATACATTTGAAAATAAATAACACACAACACCTTTGTCTTTTGGGGACTTGGCTTCACTGCCTCCAAACAACGAAGCCTCTTTCTTCACAGATTTATACCACCCAAGGAGGACAAGAATCTCTGAATTTTAACTTGCTTTGTTTTGTTGTGTGGCTACTAGTGTGTTCAGCTTCATTATGTGGACCAAGTTCAGTGAATAAGATGCCAAAATAAAGCAGGAAATACAGAAATGTCGCTACAACTGAAAGTGGCTTTTCTCAATAGTTGAATAAGTAGGTCATTAAATGGCATGGTACAACAACATGAAATCTGCTTGACTGTCATAAATGAAATGCATTGCATGAAGTATAGAATAGACTTTGATACGACCACTGCAGCAATGTGGTCCATGAATCACCCCGGTAAAAATGAGAACACTTCAAATATAACATTTACTCTCTTCTTCCCGTTGGTACTTGCTTCTACATGAAAATTGATTTTTACAGGTTTCTAAACGTGTCACAGATTATCCATTGGTCATCTACCTTGGTATTGTCTGAACCGGGACAGCTGATGTAATATTCTCCACATGTTGGGCTACAACTTCCATCATCCATGACCATTGGCCATTCTGGGTCAGAGTGCTGGGAGGTTTGAGACTAACTTCTAGAGCCACCATGTCTGTCATCTGGTCTATACTGATTGGCAGTGACTTCCCAGGTTTCAGATGGGAGGGTTTTGTTTTTTTTTGTAGCACTACTTAGAACTTCCTTTACCTTGAACTATGGCTCATTCCCACAACAAAGTGGAAGGATATCAAATACACATAAAATCCTATTACATTCTGATTCTTTGTTCCCATGGGGAAGCTTCTCCCTGTGTACTGGGAGGAGGGAATAAAGGAGGGAGGCAGGAGTAGCGGGGGGGTCCCTTTCCAAGGAAGAAGGAGGGCAAGAGAACCCCAGCTGAGCAGAAACATGGGCTCTAGAAAGACACTAAGCAGAGCGGAATTGGGCAGTGTGACGGTTGCACTACACTGCGGCCTT